ACGCTTTTCGTATCTTTTACAAGATAGTACTCTTCAGGGCTTCAGACTTATATATATATATATATATAGATAGATATATCTAGAATAGAAAGCAAAAGACAATTAGAAAACAGATCAATCTATCTCTTAACGAAGAAGACAAATTAATCTGCTATTCTCAACTCTTGCTTTTCAGCAATCGATCAAAGTCGAATAATTAATGTATTTGTGCTTAAATAAAAAATAAAAATGCAGAATTTTATTTTGCCGACGCGTTTCATGTTTATTTTATTATTTAAAAATTTGAAACACTCTTCAGGGCTCTGCATTAGAGATTAAGCACGAAGAAAAAATTAAAAATTAAATAAAAATTAAATAAAACGGAAGAGAAAAGGATAGAAGAAAATAAAAGATATATGAATAGGGTACAATGACACAAATAAAACAATTAAACATAATGGGTAGTTAGGATAAGGGAGATTGAAAATATAAATATGTTCTGAATGCGATTGTATATTGAATATGGTCTCAGAGTTTTGGATGATCTCTTCTTGACTCTATTGGTATCTTCACTATTAACTCGACGATAATACTTTGATAAACTATTGTTATTAAGATAGATTTGAATGACATTCTTTGGGATAATATTCTGTAATAATAGAATACTGTGTTGTGTTTCGATCATCTATCCCCGTATTGTGTCGACATTTGCTTTCCGGGTATTTTTCTGAATATTTTTCTGAAATCCGTTTCCAGCTGATGTTAATAGTGGTTGTATGACCATATTCATCTGTTAATGTACAGGGAATTCACCTGACGTATTTTATAATGTAATATAATATAGAAGCAATATAATATAAGGCCTACAAAGTAGGCCATACCAATGGTGTCTTTAAAAATATTTGAACGACTTGTATTAAAATGAGCAACTAGATGTTTGAGCATTGGATCTTTATTACGGATAATATTAACGTAAACGGGAATTGTCTTTAAAATGTATTCCAGATCTATTTTTTCTCTACTGTATGTAGTATGTCTATTATATTTGCTCTTTCCGATGTGTACAATGTGCTATTGTTGTGGACGGAATTTCAGTAGTATTGAACATGATGTAGTTACTCTGTATTGCGTTCTTTTTTACATATGGTATCTTTTGTATTATGTATTGACGATTAATTCTTCTTTTTGTATATATATATATATATATATATAACAAAATAAGTTCCTAGACTTGAGTAGTAGTAAAATCAAAGCCATCTTTGCCAGTCATAGTTGCAAATTCTGTCATGGTTGCAAATTCTGTGCGATCCTATTTATAATTGATTTTATCCGGATCTACACTTTTATTTGAATTGCAATATTGTACTATGGTATTGTAATAAATAATTAATAATGTTTGATATGATAGATTTCTTTTTTATGTAATCCACTCCTCTTTTCTATATTATCGTCTATCATATTTAGCATTTTTATTAGGTTAGCTTTTGATGTGTATAATATGCTATTTTGGTGAATAGAATATCATATCTATATCTGGTAATATCGAGTTTATTACATATTCGTTCTTTTAATGTATTGCATGAATTTAAATTGTATATTGAATTAACGGATTAACGGATTTATATAATTTTTACTAGAGCCAATAATTTAATATAATAACTATAGATTTATTGATCTAGTATGTACCAGACGTCTTTGAAGATTATCAACATTTCTTGAACCAAGAACTGGAATAACTTCGTTGATTGGAGACATGCCAAAATATTTCTCCCATAATATGTGGAATTTTTTGGGAAATGTTCTCATATTTGAGCAGTATGTAAAATGGACGAATATTGACTTCTCGTAGTTTACCACTAGTTTCTCTTTTATAGGAGAGTTTATAATGTTTTGGCGATATCTATTATAATTGTTAGATGTTAATGGCTCGTTGACGCTGAATTTTAATAACATATTATTGAATTGTTCGTCGATAATCTTATTTGGATATTTATTTAATAAAAGTGCCATTCTTAATTTTTCACGCTCATTAAGATAAGTTTCAAAAGTTGAACAATATCTAAAAGCACGTAATAGCATGGCAAATGGAATATTCTTTTTCATATGCAATGGATGAATACTATTAAATGGCAAATAATATGGTTCATACGATGGTTTCTGATAAACCATTGTAATTAATTGGCCATTTTTATTTTCCATATTTAAATCTAGAAAATTAACGGCTGAACCAATATTTGCAGATAAATTAATATTTTCGTCAAATTTATTCCATCTTTCGATTTGTTTAAGTAAATGTCTAGCAGGCCAATTAATTGTAATAAATATATCATCAATATATCGGAAATAAAGTCCACCACTATTTCGAATTTGATTAACTATTTGTCTTTCAAAGAAGTACATATAACAATTGGAAATAGTTAGAGTAAGAGGAGAACCCATAGCTCCTCCTCTTACTTGATGATAAAATTGACCATTATAAGAAAAGTAATTATTTGTCATAACAAATCGACTTAATCTAATAATCGTTTCAACTTTTAATTTACCAACTTCTTTCAATTTTAAGTGGTCTAACATTTTTCTTAAAGATAATACTCCTTCTATTTGAGGCACCATAGTATAAAGGTCTGTGACATCAATTGTACAAAATGTTGTATCTTGACACATATTAACTGTTGACCATTCTTGTAATTTTTTAACTAATTCAAAACCAGAAGTAACAGTAGAATTCAAGGCCATCTGGTCGAATATCGGTCGAAGTAAATCATCAAGATATTTTGATATTTTAATTGTTGGGTGTTTTAGACCAGAAATAATTGGTCTTAAAGGAGTACCAGGTTTATGAGCTTTTGGTAAATAATATAAGTGAGCCAGTTCGACTTCATTTGGTTTAATACTTAATTGCTCATATTGTTTTTGAGTAATCCATTTGGCCAGTCTTAAATCTAATAGGTATTTATTTGTTCGTTGAATTAAATCAGGAAGTGGATCAATAATACCAAGACATTGATATGCTTTGGTTTTCTCCATATATTCTTCTGATTTCTTTTGATAATGATCAACTTTACCTAAATGAAATACTTTCGATTTATCAGTTTTTCTTAATACTGTATTAGCCAGATGAATTTTATATTTTAATCTCTTGATTGTTCGACCATAATTGGTTTTAATTTTTGGACGAATAATAGTTTGAGATTGACTTGATTGACTTGGTTGAATAATTGAGGATAAGTTATCAAATGATTTATTTGTTCGAGCTCTATTAAATTGTATTCGTTTCTTATTAGTAGTAGGAATATTATGTAAGTTTTGGAGCAAGACATCTAATTCAGCAATAAATTGTTCGACTGGACGACCGGGGCGTACTTTCTTTTCGAAGAATCGAGCTTCTAATTTTCGTTTCAGAGTTGCCAATTCAGTTGTCCGTCGTCGAGCGGCTGTTTTTGGATCATCAAATATAAATCGGGGACCTAATCTTAATAATTGATGTTCTTGCTCTGTTAATTTGATATTTGCTTGATTGATTATGGCTGGAGCAAGAAATCCTCGCCCAGTGATCGAATAAGAGTCGGGACGGCGACAGGTTCTGGATTGTTTTCTTCGTCCTCGACTCGCTGTTCGACTAAAAAATAGATCGATTGATCATTTTCTAAATTAAATCGTTTTTCACGTAATTCATGATATTGTTTAAATGCTGCACAACCAGCTTCAGCATCAAAGCCATCATCGTTCTCGCTTGGAAAACCTTCAATAATACGTTTGATTTCATTTGATAATAATTCATGTTCACGACCTAATGATTGAACATATAGTTTCATTGCTTGAGTACGAAAGTCTTTTGTAATTTGACGCATTTCATTGTATGTTGCTTGTATTTCATCTTTATTTAAAATGGATTCATCGATTTTGAATGTGAATTCCATTTTATTAATGAATTTTGGAGGTAAATCGTATTCAACTCGTTTTGTTGCAATTATTTTATTTTTGTTTTTGGTTGAACAAAGTTTTACTTTAGGTTTTAGCATTAAGTGAATATTCCATTGAGATGGTGTAGCTATTTGTTCAAAATCTTCTAAAGCTTTAAATTCAGCCATTTGAGCTTTAGCTAATTGAATACGATTTTCAGCCATTTTCTTAACATGTAAAGTACAATGATGGATATATTCTAATATATGTTTTTCGAGACGTTCAACAGGATCACGATGTTGTCCTTTGGTAATGGTTGATGCTGTTGTTGCCATTGTATTTGGTGCTAGAATAGGACTTCTTACTCGTGTTGTTGTTGTTGTAAGACCTGTTCTTTCAATTATTAAATTAGTTGTTAATTCAGCTGTTGTTTGGGCCTGTTTTTGAGCTGTTATTTCAGCTGCATTGTATTCCCAATAGGTAGCTAATTGTATTTGTAAGTCAGAAATACTAGCACTTGCTTGAGCTATACTAGTCATTAATTGATTTATTTTCTTCTGAACAAAACGACTATTAGTAGTATCATCACGTCTTTTTGTACGTTGAATTACTTCCTTAGCCCAATGTTTATTTTCAGTAGCTATTTTTGAATAAGTTTGCCAGACTTGTAATTCATAATTATTACGAATCCATTCATCGTAAATTGGAGCTGTAGCTAATAGATAGGCTTGATTACCACGACCACTAATAGAATTTTTTGAACTTTTTGAATTATCTTCGAACCATCTTAACATTCGAGTCGGTTCGAGATATAGATGAGTTTTCTTCTTCTTCATTTTATCTTTCTTATTATTATATGGATTTGCTGTAATAGGTGCATCGATTTCAACAATATTATTATCATTATCATTATCAACAATATTATTATCATTATCATTATTATCACTAAGTAAAGCAAATCGATTGTTATTCTTATTAGAAGTTGGACGATATCGTTGTTGCTGTTGTTTGCCTCGACGTATTTGACGTCGATGTGACGAAGTTGTAGATTGTTGTTGTCGATTAACTATAAACGGCTGTGTATAATTGTTTGTATCAAATGCCGTTGTTGTTGTAGCTGCAAAACGTTCTCTTTGAGGTAATGCATCAGGTGGAGCTGTCGTTATAGCAGCAGCTTCTGTTGTTGTTGTTGCACCTAGATTGAATTCCGATGGAAGATTTGAAGTTGTAGTTGGTGAAGGATCACGAAATTCTGTTGGCATAAAATCATTTAAACGAAGTTGTCTTGGACGATTTCTTCTTTGTGGCGGTTGTCTTGATTGACTTCGTTGTCGTTGTTGTTGATTTGAACCATTTCGTGATCGATTTTGAGATCGACTTGAACGACTTTGTCGTCTTTGTTGTTGTTGTTGTTGTTGACTTCGATTGAATCTTCTTTGCATAATCGGTGGTGGTGGTGGCATATAATTTTGATTATAGTTTCGATTATAATATGTATTTCGAGGAATAAAATTTCGACGATTACCTTGATAATTAGGATAACCTTGATAATTTTGATAATTTTGATTATTTGGATAAAAGTACCCATTATTGTTATTATTATTATTATAATTGCCCCCATTATTATTATAATAATTGCCCCTATTGTTATAATAATTATTGCCCCCCAAAACACCACCACGACGACGTTCATATCTTCGTAGTGGTGGTGCTGGAATATTTGCTTGTTGTAATGGGACAGGATTTGGATTATTATTAATATTATTGTAATTCATTATCGACATAAATCGTTGAATAAGTTGAGATAATATGGATCAAATTTGAATAATAGAAATATCAAGAATTTGATGCCTTTGATAAATGAATGTATGTAAATCAATTAGAAAACAGATCAATCTATCTCTTAACGAAGAAGACAAATTAATCTGCTATTCTCAACTCTTGCTTTTCAGCAATCGATCAAAGTCGAATAATTAATGTATTTGTGCTTAAATAAAAAATAAAAATGCAGAATTTTATTTTGCCGACGCGTTTCGTATCTTTTACAAGATAGTACTCTTCAGGGCTTGAGACTTATATATATCTAGAATAAAAATAAAATAAAATGAGATTCTTAACTTGATATATTAAAGAAGAAACAAATAGTTGATAATTTTGAAAATTAAAATCGATTCATTGAATTTTTTTTCTAAATTAAGTACTATAATCTAAGACAGAAACAAAACTTAGAAGAAAAAGTACTAATTAGAAGACTTTTTTTGTAAAATAGAACTTTTTCTTATATAATAACTAGTCATATTTGACATTCTTTCTTGATTGGAATAACAATTAGCAAAAATAGCAGGAGTTGCACCATTATAAAGTCTTTTGTTAAATGATCCATTTCTAAATAAATTTAATATATGCAAACTAAATTCATCATTTTGTGAATAACATAAATCAGTAACATGACTATAGAATCGCTGCATATTATTTATAAAATCATTGAAAAGACAATCTTCAAATCTTTTAACTTCACTACCATTTATTTCATCCATTTGCAAACCAGATAAATATAATAAATTTGCAGCTAATGATTCAATATATGGCCATTTATTTCGACGACTTTTTTCACATCTACGACATTTACACTTCTCATCAACATCATCAGTACAATATTTAATTCCTATGAATGGTAATAGTACTCCATTTTTATCATATCCATCTATTAACCAATCTAAATATTCATCAGTAAAATTAAAAGCTCGATGAGAATTATCAGATTTTATTATTTCCATTTTATTTGTTAAATTGAAAGTAAGAATTAATTCAACTATGTTATACGAAAGTATCTAGAATACAGAAATAGAATCGATATCAGACAGTGACTTGTATATTTATGAATAATTTTACATGAATTTATATTAAAAAGAAATACAAAAAGAACAGAATTCAAAATGATGAATACAATAGAATAATTAGTTATACATTTAAATTAGTCTATAAAACAATTGTTCGTAGTTGATGATGATAATAATACCATGTTGATTCGATGAAATTGTAATATATTTCGGGAAGAGATTTACTACCCCGATGGCTGGAAGGACGTCTACTGCCGTATGGGCAATACCTTCCTAATGGCACATCGATCATCTTTCTTTTCAAACCAAAACCAAAAACAACAAATATTGGAGTCCAAGATAACCTCTATTAGAATTTTATAGAACCCATAAAAAATATTCTCCTTTTTGATTTAATAAATACGAAGGATAAAAACTCTGAGAAAATAATATTCTTCAAATAAAACTAAACAGACCTGATAATGATTTCTAGTTCAAATGAAGATTCGAATTGAAAAGTGGTGACTTTATATACCATGATGAGTGAGAGAGAGAGAGAGGATAGACTTTGTATTTTATTATTCATTATCAGTTAAAAACATTCCTAAATCAACGGGGGTGCCAACTATTCCATAGCATATTTATAATGTTGTTTTACTTTGATAGACACCTCCGCTATGATAAAGAAAAAATTTACAAACAAATGATGTGCAACTATGTTAAGACGTAATTGAGGGTCCGTCACATACTTTTCTGGTATCTGCTTATCTTACAACTGATAAATAAATGTATTGAATATGTGCTGGAATTTAAAAGAAATATAAAGATTAATTTCGTCAATGTATTTTTCTAGATCAAAAATGCAATGAAAACGAACCATTTCTATGTTCTAAGTAAGATGAATAAAGTTATAATTAAGAATACCAATTCGACTGATGTAGTTACCATTCACATAATTGTCCTTTTTACTAACAAATTTATTTTACTACAGTTCATACTTTCTTTTTGTTTTAGTAGTTGATGTTATATTCAATAGTTGACTAATATAAATAGTAATCTATTGTCTCAATTGATGATATCTATAAGTGCTTTTTTTGTTTTTTAATGTTATATACACTAGTTTCAGAATGAGAGCAAATCAGTGTTTATATATGTATTATGATAGATAGTCATGTTAATCTTTGTAAGTTTAATTTTAATCGACTAAACATTGAACAAACAAAGGTAAGTTGTGTAATTTGTTGATAAAACATAAAATTCTATTTCTCAAGATATTTCATAGATGCATAGTACCGCAAAATCAAATCAAAAAAGGACTGAATTTATCAATGCAACGATGTCTGCCGATGCTAAGGAAGGTTCAACAATGAAAATAATTGTTATCCTTCTACATAGCAATATTTATTTCGAATTGTCATCAACAAACAGGCCAATCTATCATATTGAGTTTAGTAAAGAGATAAAGTTAGATAACTATGATTAGAGTGCTATGTTCATACGCATTAGTCAGAGACCATTGAACTATTCATTGATTCTATCGCTTTTATTTGATATCTTGAATGAGTAGTAGACGATGAGAGAAAATGATATCAATTGTTATTTGTTAAAATTAATCAATTACTAATGAAAATAATTTATATGTTTTGTTTGTTTAAGTTTTAGTCAATAGTTAACAAATATATGATCATCAACTGTTTAAACCGTCGACAAATGTTGCCAAATAACTAAATACGATGTATTGTCACGTCACCTCCGTATAATAAACTTGATCATCTTGAGAACAACAATTATTTTATGTGTGTGCATACTGATAAGAATCGTTGTTATCATAATCGTGATTATCCTCCAGAAGAATTTATTATACGAAGTGATATGAAATTTATATCAAAACAATGGTTGGAGCTTGCAATTAGACTACAAATCAACATCTATACATATCTACTGTAATCATGCCAACATTTTACTATGACCAGTTACCAGAATGTATCAAAAGCTGAATTTGGCGAATTCCGTCGGATCGTAGAAATAAACATTCGACACCTTTTCAGATTGCTACTCATCTTGAGCATGTCTATTTTAGCAACAACCGATAAAGGTAAGTTTACTCACTTATTTATTTAATATTAAACTATTACAATATTGATAATCTATCTATTTAGGTGAATATGGTGCTTGCATCCATTTGGCAGATCTGGTACAACACTGATTATAGTTGCAAAACTCAACCAGTGCGTTCGACGATCAAAATATTATTCAAAATTATCGAGTTATATTCCAACATCGATTGGTTAAGTCGAATTCAGATATAACTATATGGAAAGAAGTTTATGTGGTCGAAAAAATCATTGATAAAAGAATTCGTAATGGAAATATTGAGGTGTGTGTGTGTGTAAAACGTTACTCTTTCCTTTTTGTTGTTTTCTGCTTAGGATTATTTAGTTTCTAGTTTTCTGTTTCTGTTGTTTACTTTGTTATGTTACTTTTTATTGAAATAAAAACTTAACAAGAAAAAAGATGAATCTGTTAGTCTCAACTCTAGTTTTTCAGCAATCTATTATAAGTCGATAATTACAAATCAAAATAATTAATATGATACATATTTTCTTGAACAAACTTTTCTTCAACATCCTTAAAGCGCAGATCGTACTAAAGATATTGTTTTATTTGTTTGGTCACTGTGAAAAAACTTTAATATATATTCTAAATCGATTCATGTTCAAGTTTGGATACATATTTGGTACACTCTTTTTCTGAAAAATGTTCTTCTTCTTCAGATGTAATACCGATGAGAATATCATCATCATCATCATCACCATTTGGATTGTTCATTACTCAAATAGATGCACATTTAAAATAAAAGAAAAAATCTATTCAATTTGAATATTCTTATTTTTATTTTTATTTATGATAAAAAGACATAAAGTATGAACAATAGAAGTTTTCATTCGATCGAAGACATTATCATTCGAAATAGGATTTAAAAATGAAATAAGCAGAAAAATGAGAAAAGTTTTATTAGATTATTTTTGTATTTTGATAAAATTTTTTGAATTGAGCCATTTGTTCCCATGTCCAATCGAGTTCTATTATTAAGGATACTTTGGTAAGTGCTAAACAATAGCAAACATAATGATTCATATAATATAGAGGATTGTGCATATTTTTATTGAATTTAATGATCGATTCATGAAATAGGTAATTAATAGCCTTTTCTATTGTCCATTCGTCGCCGTTTTGCTTGTATGGATGATATGAACTCTTACTGGAATAGTATTCATTATGTTCATGTCGTCGATGATGCCAATGTTTGGAAGAGTTTTGTAATTCAAACATATTTATTTCATAGAATGCATCTGGTGAAAGATAATGATGATCGATAAGGACACAAAGATCGTTTCTATTATTATTATTATTCCAAATGAAGAATTTGTTTTGTGAACGAAAAATAGTCTTCAATAATTTTTGTATCATCGTCCATAAGTATGTATATGGAATGGGTAAGTGTAACATTTCAAATGTTAAAATACAATTTTCATTTTCTTCGATTTCTCTTAATTCAATTATAATTAAAGTAACGTGTCCTTCTGAACCTATTTTATTTGTATCAATAGAATAGGTTTTTGTTTTTTTAACCTTTTCCAGGAGAAATAGAACATGATCGATAGATGTTAAACGATGTATAGGACATATGCGATATGGTTTTAAAGGTTGAAATATATTCAATAATATGGAATGAGAAGGAAGATCGATTGATAAAGATTTTTGATATTCAAAATCTGCACGAGCTTGTTCAATTAATGAAGGTACACGATACTGATCTGTATTATTCATAGTTAATTATCTAGAATGTAGGATATCATATTAAATAGAGAAATTAAAGAGAAATCTGAAAATGAAAACATTATGATACGAGCATTATTATTTTATTAGTTTTTATTTTAAATATTGAAGAAAAGCAAATAAAGAAAGAATTATTTATTTTTGATAATTGATTGGATCAAAACGTTTTTTATAGAATGTTGGTTTTGGCCATTTAAGTTCTTGTGATGAATGTTGTAAAGTTTGAATATGTTGTTCTTGAATTTGTAATGGTGTGAGCCGCATTGGAATTGGTGGTATTATTATTGGAATAGAAAGGGATCGATTCCATTTTTTTCCAATAATTTCAGTAAGCAGTTGAGTCATTAAACGAACACCTATACCATAGATACATCTATCGTTGAAACCATAACTATGAAAAAAAAAACACCCTATATTTCATTTACCTTTTGGTCCAAAATAATTGGAATTTGGTAATAACAAATTATGACGAATTTTATTCCAATAGAAATAACGATCAAATAGATGAAAGTTATGTCGACGAACGATTTCATTTGTACGATTAAGAATTTCATCAAATTGATATTGTTGTTCAGAATTTAATTGCATTGCTATTGGATTAGGTCCCAACCAAATGAATTGTTGATGTTGATATTTCTTATTTTTACATATCCCTATCAGATGATGACATACATCATTTAAAGCACTATTGAAATTATTCAATAGATCGTTAAATGGTAATTCACTTTTAACTAATTTAGCACTAATCGAAACAAAACAAAATAATTAGACATAACTTCGGACAACAATGAAAAATACTTACAAATTCAGATCACTATGATACGATGAGAAAATAATTGCATGTATACAATTACAATCCTTGAGTGTTTGTAAATAATTAATATTACGAATCGCCGATTGTCCCATAGTTGTTGGTAAATGGATATAAATTAAACGTGCCGATGAATATTGACAAACAAATTGACGAATATCTTTATAGTTTTTTGTACCTCGTGAACCACCTGTAACTAAACGTGTTTCGCCTTGAATTGTTTTATATTCACCATGTTGAATCCTAACTTCAGTATTTTCTAATAAACGATTTGTAGAAAATAATTTAGTAAATCAAATAGAAACAGGGTGTGGGTGTGGGTGTGGGTGTGGGTGTGTTAAACACTCAAGATATATAGATTCAAAGCAGAATACGACGCGTTTCGAACCTTGCTGAAGGGTTCAATCATCAGGTATCTTTAGAATCTTTTACTACATATGAAAATT